TCACAGCTGACACATCTAGGGTTACGCATATAATATATACCCTTGAGGTTGAACCCTGCCTGGGGAACCATACCCCGTTTGGCTACCACCAGTAGTGGGCCATATACATGGCTTATGTTGCATCCACCCAAGGTACATGACTCTTACGAGACAGTCCCGAGTTGGATATGCTCACTGGTGACCAAATCGAATTCCGCTCTAGCTGGTTTCCGAAACTGTCCTGCTGACAGCTTGACATGCGCCGAGTGATGCTACGCGCAAATTTCGTCCATCCATGGTATGATTTGGGTTTAATCCGGGTCCCCAATACTTCTCATCGGCAGACTCAAACCTGAACAGGCGTTGGCACCACGGAAGCTGAGACGGGCGGGTCAAAGTCATCGGGGCTGCCTTTGCTTCCAGGGGGCTTGGACTTTGGGTTGGGGCAATGTTTCAACAAGGGGTGAACTGCAATTGCGGACCCTTTTGTGGATATGTCGGTTGGGACTTCGTGTCCACCAACCACTTTGGTGGTTCTCTACTGAAATTCATATCGGCCACTGCCCCCTTTTGCAGTTCATCCGGGTGGTTGCCCTGGAGTGAGGATTCCCCATCAAACAACACCAACCAACTATGGTGCAGGATTTCGTCCATCCATGGTAGGGAACGGCTCAACGAAGAGACATACCTCGCTGCTTCCGGAAAACCAGTCCCTCTCCCTGGCCCAGAGTCGGGCCCCTGACGCGCGGCTCCTTGTCGAAGACCCGGAGGTTGGCCATGGCGTTCGCAGCCTGGCCCTTGGCCAAGTGGTCCCGGAAGTCCTCCCGAAGCCCACGGGACCGACCACCGGAAAACGAGAGAACGAGGCACCGGAAACCATCGCGGAAAACCCGGAGCGGCGGAAGACGCCGGTTGCCCCAGAGTGGCAAAGCACCGGGGAAGGAGACATGCGACATATTCATGACTTGGTCAAATGCGAGACTCTGTGCGCGGGGTCCCATGCGAAGGCAACGGTTTGCCAGACCTCTTGGAAGTTGGCACCCTCCAGCCTGGTGATTGTGCAACAAGGGGTTGGTGGCATGTGCAGTCACTATGTATAAGAATCTATAACCACTGCACAAAGGGTACATACCCGGCTGACCACCACCATGTTCCTCTGCTGGTTGTGGCTTGAGGTGCTCTTGGGAGAATGAATCCCTTTCATCTTCCCCAAAAATGAGGGATGCTCTACGTTTCAAGATCTCTTGATGTTCGAAAAACGGAACGGAAAAGGTCCGTCAAGGGATCCTTGCACTCCAAGAATTCAGAAAAACACAAGTTGAAAACTTGCTGGTGCGAAATCGGCAGGGAATGAGAATTGAAATGAACCCAGGCTTTGGTCTCCTTAAAGAAAACCACAGGAACCGGATGGCTCAAATCGTGGTCATTCCAATTCTCCTTCCCTTCCGATTTCGCAGCAAGTCAAGCGGGCAGCTGTTCCCCTCCAAGATGGGTTCAAACCAAAAGGCCTTTCAAGACTAGGGGTCCTGCGGTGGAGAGCTTAGAATAAGGGTGCCCGATTTTTTTCTGTAGTCTATTTTAGTAGGGGAACCCTCCCCCTAGAAGAAAGTGTCCTGCACGCCAAGAATTTACCAGAAGAAAGGTCAAAAGCATAGGCGTCCTTTAAGGGGAAATAGATGGGATGCTTAAACCACCAGGTAAACCAGAAATCGCCCTCTATTTTTCAACCCATGGTATACCTGGCAAACCAAAAGCCATAGTGGATCTATTGTTCAACCAAAGCAACCAAAAAGGACATGGTCAAAAGATGTCAAAAGTCGAAAGGCCAACCCGGAACCCGGCGGAACCAGGCGGAACCCGGAACCCGCTCGCCTTCAGCTCCGGCGCCGCCCTGGACTCCAGCTGCGCCTTCAGATCCTTCCACCCGGGGGCGCAGTCTGCTGCCTGTGAGGGGCTCTCGTTCCAGTTGGGCTCCCTCCCCCTCCCCCCGGCTGGCTGGTTAGTTGGCTGGCTGGCTGGTTGTTTGGCTTGCTCGCTGTAGGCTGGTAGGCTGGTTGGCCGGCTGGCTGGCGGGCTGGCTGTTTGATATCTTGCTAATTGGGTGGCTTCAAGGCTATCCGCCCCCCCCCCCCTCCCACCCCCCCAGCCCTCTGCTGATAGACTTCTTGACAATTTGGGCTCCCTACATCTTTGGTGAGGAGTTGCAATATTTGGGTTCGACACAACATCTGTCAAGTTGCTTGATCTAGGGTTTCCGCAGCAAGCACATGACAGTCTATTCGACGTGACGTTTGGTCATCTCCCTGGCAAACGGAAACCAAACCAGACACTTTGCTCTGCATGGTCTAGCGGAATACAGCCTGAGGGAAGCCGATGCGCTTTTCATCGGGGATCCGATTTGGAATAGGATGCGCTAGAGTGCCCCTGAAGTATACCTGTCAAAGCACAACAGGACCCATCTGTATAGGTACATATGAAGCATACATTAGAGGCCCCATGAGCACATGTTTAAGTCCAATAAGTAGTTGGACATCCCATTTTGACGGGTCATCCTAGGAAATACCTCTTGCTCCTGGCCAATGGAAACTTCTTCGACAGCTCCCGAGGCTCAAATAAGTTGTGGAACTTACAGCACTTCTGTACCACTGGAAGGCGGTCGTTCCTTGATATCACAAAAGCGGGAATCAACCCCTCATTCCCACAACCCTTCTTGGACAACCTCAAAAAGTGCAAGACCGTACGATTTTGTCGGCTGTTTCTCCCACCCCGTTTGGGGCAAGGGCTGCATTTCTGATCACGTGTTCTGGCGTTTGCTGGCCATTTCCTTGCAGAAAAGCAATCCCAAAGACTGTTCCAAGCGCCTCAACAGGGCCGCCGCCGCCGCCGCCAAAGAAGCTCCGGGCCATGCTCGGGCGTCGCACGCGGCCTGAACAAAGGCCGCGGGTGCCTCTTTTGGGGCCCAAAGGACCACTGAAGGAAAAGCCACTATTTGGGCGGCGGGATTCTTGTCTCCAGCGTTGGTGACAAAATAGGATCGACCCTTTTGGGGGTCGAGGATTCCTTTCAAAAGCCTTGCGGCACCAAATGGCACGTTTCCGTTTGGCTTCCTGCGTGAGTGACTATTCCTTACGAACGCCTGAGCTGTCAAATTGATTCTCAACCAACGTAAATGCACAGGAGACCCAGGAAGTGACTGGTTAGAATCACCCAGGGTCCACCGGGAGAAGAGCTTGGCAACTTGATTTCTTTGCCCCTCCTATCCTTTTGGCACAAGCTCGGGCTTGGTTGACTGGTTCTCGACTGGGAATCCGTTCAAAGGTGGCGAAAGCCACTAGCAGCGTTAGCAAACAAGACATTGGCGTCCAGTGCGTCCGGTGAGTCCGGTGCATCCCGGTACCATTTCAACACCCCCAAAACGGGGTCACCCCTGGCCTCTTTATTTTACCATGGTCAAAGTCACCCCCTAAGCGGTGGGTTAAAGGGAAACAAACCCCGTTTCTGACTTTGATAACCCCCAGAAACCGTCAAAATAATGATCCCTGTACCCAAATCACGAAGAAGAACTAGCCTATGTTGGTTGGGACTGCCCCCTTCAATTTCCACTACCCTCCCCCAACATGGAAGCTCCCGAAGGGTTTCCCTTTTCTGGGAGCTTCCATGTCAGTCTAAGGGCTCCCGGGACCCCTTTGGAAGACTTTAAGACTTGGTTCCATTTACCAAGTAGGTGCAAACACAAACTGTGAGACCCCCAAGAAACACTCCAATTACGTCCATTTGCTTAAGTCCCCTGCAAAAAAGAAACATGTGTCCAGTAGTGATAGATTCCCTTTAAACCCACCAGGGGGAAAAAATCGAATATTCTTAACCACATGGAAGAATACGGAGGCCTGGGCGACCTTTCTGGGAGTGGTGCCCCATCGCTCCCCCGGAGCGCGCCTCCGAGGCTCGGCGCCACGAAGCTCCGTGCCGCCAAGGTCACCGCGGCCAGCACGGGCACGCGCCAGCGGCCCATCGGACGGCGAAGAAAACGGAAAGGTCACGTTCCAATTGGCTTCACTCAAAACCACAAGTCACTTGCAGCTAAAAACTCGGTGACTGGCTGAGATGGCCAGAGCTGACGGAAAATCGCCGGTTCGAAGGGTGAGCTGGGCAAGGCTTTGGCACTTTGAGGCGGTTCGAGGAAAAATTGGGGTCCCTGTTGGCCTGATGGTGCTGGTCTGGAGTGGGCCTGTTGGCTGGTAGCTTGTTGGTCCCACATTCTTGAAGCTCCAAGTTTCGACGTGTCGGGCGCTACTGCACATGTTCCATGTGCACAGCTGGGTGCACCTCCCAAAACCGACCTGGAACCCTAAAAACAAACTTAGACCTATAAGTCTCTAGACTTTCCCAAGAAGCATTTGGTTTGAGTGCAGATCTCCTGCCGTGCCCCAAGCCGGCGCTCGCTGTGGCTCCAGTCCAGCTCAGGAGCAATGAAGCATGAAGCCCTGATCCAGTGTGCATTCCCTACTGCGGATGCACGAAATCCATTCCGCACCACTTTCAAACGATGGGAAACCATTGTTTGTTGCTATTTACAAAAGAATGATCCATCTCGCACCACGAAATGAAACCATGGTTGAAACCACAACGTTCATTGGTAGTTACGTTGAAAATCGAACATCATTCCCTTGGGTTTCTGAACGGCGCTGCGACCTCTGGATTTCGCGTCCATCCACGGCATCCCTTGCCTTCGACAAACAGCACCTGAAGTTGGAGGTCTCTGACTTTCCGAGGGTCACCCTGCAGACCGCCCCCGGAGGCTTACACCAAATATGTGTGTAATATACATAAATGTACATGTGTATATATATATATATACAAAAGAGAGAGATACATAGGTATGTACATATATATATATAATGTATATATATATATATTGTAGGAAGTGAACCAACGTTGAGGGTTTTCCTTATTCCCCGATTGCCATATCTAGATCATCCACTATGTCTACACCAAAACTTTCTGCCCATTGGGTCCGCGGCCGCTCAAAGAAGAAGGCATCTGCAGAGCCTGCGGGCTCAAAAACCAACGCGCCAGGGTGGGTCACCTTGCCCCAGATGCTCCAAGATCGCAGTCGCCAGGCTTTCCGGCACCGGAAACGGGTCACTCAACCCAACAGCTGGATGGAATCTGCGCATCGTGAGTCGCCAGCGCCTGTCTGCAAAACTTTTTGCACACGGTGCAAGAGAAACATGATGCGTTTCCCAATGCATTCGCTTTCTCTTTAAGCACGCGCTATCCTTTAAAGGGTCGCCTCAAAAGGCGCACCCTCGCAGTCGCGTCAACGGCTCTCCTGGCTTCGGCTTCACCACCGGGTTCACCAGGATCGAAGGCTTGAAGACTTTGTGCTCCTCAAAGTGGGTGATACCCTTTTTTTTGGCGAACACACAGAGGAAGCGCTTGCACAGAATGGCACTCCAGGCGGATTGAATTTGTGCTTCTATCTCAGCAATCCGCCAAACCAGCTTGTACAACGTCCGGGCTTTTGGGTAGATGTTCAAGGGAAGCCCACTCCAAAAAGCAAATGAATCGTCCCACTGGCCACTGCACTTCTTGGGCCTATGGCAGAGAAGCTCGGAGACGGCCCCAGGGGGCCAAGCCCATGCGTTGTCGAACCCATTCAACGGGTCACCCACCAAAAAAAAGAGGCAGAAGGCGAAAAAAAGGAGCAACCAACGGAGGTCGGCATTCTGTCAGCAAAAAAATGACCTTCGACAAATGGGTGCTCCTTTTCCCGCCCAGTCCTCCGAGATCTGGGCTCGCGTGGTGAGCTTGTCGATGCTCTCTTGGGACTCACCAAAGGCCACCTGAGCGGGGGCTTCTCAAATCGGATTCGGACCCCCTTGAACCCTTGGTGGAACAGAAACCCACAGGAACCCACCATTTAGCACGACGGATTTTGAGAAACACCCCATGTCTGGGGCATTTACTCGTCTAAGGCTTGATTTGCCCTGCTTGCTCTCTTCACCCATCATTGTCCTCGAGTTGTGGGCCATTTTCTGAAGAGCATCCCTGAACAGAATGGATGGGGAAGTTATGGATGCATGAAGCTACGCATGGGATCGCAAGGCAGGCGTTCACAAGCTTTCCATATGACCTCTGCCGGCACATACAATCTTCAAGGGTGACGCAACCCTCAATTGAGCACGGTAGAAGCACCACAGGACAAAAACAGGCAGGTGGTCATGACCACAAAATGGTCTTGACACAATGCCGTCGCAACAACGAGCTTTACTATGCAAATGTCTGCTTAACGTATCCGTCAATTGGCAAACGCGTTGGCAAGAACCTGCCTCCCGCCCCAAGCATCCCATCTAGAGCCGGAGCATACCACAAATGAGACACGTGAGGCAAGTGGCGGTCGTCCTCGTTTGCCTGGACAACCACAACAAGTTGGATGCGTCTTGGAATGCTTTAAAATCTGCTATCAAACCGCAAAACCATATGATGTTGCATCCTTCTTGCGATGCTGAAAATGCTGTTATCCCGCAAAACAAAAACACTGAGGACCGACAATGCGAACCACCAAGCATGACAAAGAGTATGTGAAGCCGAGAGGCGATACGCAGCCTCTTGCCGAACCTGCGAGCGAAGCAAGATGGACCATTGGTAAACCCCTGGTTGAGTTCTAGATGCCCCTTTGAGAATCCTTCGCTTTTACGAGGGAAATCACATTTTGTCCTTTAGCCCACAAGGTTTACCTGTCGGCAGTGGTACTATGCTCACAGGATTCGATCTCCGCGATGGCATTTCCTTCCAGAAAACCGACCTGGCCACCTGTGGGGTTTAACTCACTTGCGATCACATGGCTGTGGGTCAAAAATAGGCGCTCAGATTGGAACCCCGGTATTTGGAAACATGGACTAACATATGCGGTCCGATTCCTGGTGGTTTAATTTTGACCCATACCCGCATTCCGGGTGACCGGGTCTGGCAAACCGCAGTAACCGCAGCGTTGCGCTTTACCAAACCGACTCCGCATCGGGCAGGGGGCCCCACTGCGGAGCAGCCAGGCCCAGGGGGTGCTCTCCGCTAGCCAGAGCCTCGATGGGCCCCCAAAGGGAATTGGCTTGGGAGTTCGATACCTCCCGTCTTGGCTTTTGGGTAAAATCCTGAGACGGAGTTCTTAAAATGCTCGCCAGTTGGGGTTGGCAGCTAAGGAAGGATGGGCCCTCTTGGCATGTGGCGCTGGTTGAAAAGCAATTGGGGAGCCCTTGAAAACAGAAACCTTGATCTGGGCCCAACATCAAGTCCCTCCGCTCTTGCACGGGTTGATTTCACCCTGCATTGAACCAAAAGAATCCTGCTCGAGAGAACCTATCACTGTCTCAGGCTTTGTTTGGAGTGCGCTTCGCTTCTGCCTGTGGGTGCCAGCAGAACCAAAGGTCCTGCTGGGAAAACCACCCAGGGACAGCCGGGGTAAGACCGAGTCAAAACGAAAATCCTCCGACTGGAGTCTCTCATGTCCAACCAAATGGTGCCGCCCCCGACAGAAATTCTCACGAGCCTTCCTGGGAGTCTTGTGCCCACCCCAGGCTTTCTGCTTGCTGGTTCAATCAAGTGGAGATGAATGCATGCTCACATGGGTGACTTGCTAGACTCTGTTGCACAGATCCGCCCAGCAGGCCAAATTTGGGGATGCTGTGTCCACCAACCTCTGAGTAGTCGTATGTGCATGGCCAAAGCTCCTTATGTGGCCTGCGGTCATGGTTCCCCAAATAGGAATCATGAAAGATGGTCATAAAAGAATCCCGACAACCAGGTGGATGACCAGCCCATGTGCCCCAAAACAAAGGGGTGCTTTCACCATGACACCTGCCTCAAGCCACTGCAACCTTCCGACATCTTCCTTTGGCCCCAGGCATCCCGCAGCTCCTTGGCCGCTGCCTGCACCTGTAGCTCAGAAGGTGGGACTCCGACCCTTGGGTGTCTTCTTTCGAGGGAACCACTTTGTTGTGGCTTTAAAGGGAAACCACCAGGAAACTGCTCCTTCTTCTTTCCTTTGTTGGGGGGGGGGCTAAACCAAAAACACACCCTTCTGAAACTTCAAGGACGGGTTTGCGAAGCGCCTGAAATCCAGAGGGTCAATCTTACCCTCCTGGACGCTGAGAGAAAGGCCTTCGAAGTAGACGCTCCATCCTCTCTTCCACCATCGCTGGAAAGAGGGTAGCCTTTGAATCGCCTCAAATCTCAAGTGGTGAAATATGTACCAGCTCGATGGCCATATTGCAGTCCAACAAAGCGTAGCAGCCCGTTGGCGATTCTGCTACAGCCTGCTTCTTGCACACATGCGCCACCTATTGTATGCAAGCGGCATCAAAACGATGCAAGTCAAAAACAATGACTGCGGCAGATCCTGCATTTCCGTGCAACCTAAACAATGCGAACCATAGATTGAATACTTGATAAGGTCTTCCCTGGCCGGACTTCCACCTAGGTGTGCCTGTTGTGCGAAACCCTTCCCAAGTCTCCAATCGAAGGTGTCGGAGAGTTCTTTGTTCCAAATAGCGCCTGACAATGGACCCATGGACTGACTAGAATCTGGCGTCGACGCTCAGCAACCCTGCGTGAAACTTGGCACACTCGCTTTGGGGGGCTGCACAAGTGATTCAATGTGTTGGACATGCGGCAGGTTGCCAACAGCAAAGCGCAAATGGCTGACCAATGGAAGGGTAATAGATTGAGAGAGCTCCCCGAGGTCGATTCAAACATAAAAAGCAAGCTGGTAAGGGAACACTCCCAAAGGACCTACAAGCGGGTTTTGTCCTCACTTGATGAGTCTCGAGTCCCCATTGAGTGGGGCACTCCTACTCGGGCATTTTAAGGTACTAACTCGGACGGTCCAAGCGGACTGAAGTCGGCAAGCGCGAGGTCGCCCTACCCCATGCACGAACCCGGGCTGGCCTCCGCCGCAGAGAAGTCTGTCACTTCCGCCGCCTTCAGACCTCACGGCTGCACATCCACCTCCCTGCGAAGAGTTGAAGAAGACAAACAGGGCAACGCCAAGAAGCTAAGGGGTCGAGAGCCCTTGCAGCAAAAGCATCCATCCAAAAAAACAGAGGTCCAAGTTCTGCTGTAGCAACCCTTTTTGGTGGCCTCGGAGGTGGCACACAAATCACTGTCGAGATCAGAAACAGACTTTTGCCCACACACAAACCCCTGGAAGATGTCAAAATAAGGGAACCTGCGTGATTTCCCTTCGAGACCACCCAAGAACACCCTCAACCAAGCCAGAGGAGCTTCCCCAGCCAATCATGGATTCGCAGTTCGTCCCCTATCGTCGCAAGAAGAAAAGCAACACGTTCACCTTCCCCACTGAGAGGCAAGCCCTCACAAGAAAAACATGGGCGTGCTGGCACAAAACAAATTGCCAACTCCATGGCAATTTGGGCCGTCGATGCTCCAAGGACAACACGGGTCGGAAAAAAAAGGGGGGAGGGATCTCAAACCGAAGGGATCCTTACGTTATACACCTGAACATTGCCTTGTACATGGTGTGGTCCCTTTATCTTGGTGGAAAAAGCCATGTTTCAAATGGGCGAAGTGTATCTTTTAAGGAGCCCTGCCGAGGGATCCACCTTTTGTTGGGCCCGGGGCTGACGGCCGGGGCGCCCCACGCAGCAGCAGGCTGCCGGCCAGCAACACGCTGGGCGCGATGAAGCTGGGCAGGAAGCCCTGGATCGCGAGCGCGTGCTCGTCGTTTCGGGGCAAAGCCTCCCTGCCACAAATGGCTGTGGGTCAAAAATAGGTACCCAAAATGGAACATAATGGAACCCTGGTATGTGGCAACATGGACCAACACCTGTGGTCCCCTGGTGGCTTAACTTTGACCTGCGAAATCCAGAGATCGCAGAAACCCAAGGGAATGATTCGATTCCCCCATAAATACCGCCAACAATTCAATCTCATGGTTTCAAGGTGGTGCAGGATTTCGTCCATCCACACAGTAGCATTTGTGGCATGGTACCTGCAAGATCATTTCCCGCTTGTACCCGCTGTCAGGTGCCATGTTAGTGGGAGTGAGGGTATAACTGGTTTCAAGAGGCAACCCCTGGAGGTGTCCATAACTCACTTCCCGAGTTGGCCCAAAACAAGTAACCAAACTTCTTGCGTACCACTACAAATGGTCCAAACCCGAAAAGTGACTGAAGTCCAGGAACTCAGGAAGTGAGATGCGGCCAGGGAGTAGAACCGCAGAACCAACTGCTAAAATGGCCAAGAGGGGGTTTGAAGCTTAGATGCTTTAGAAAGATGATCACTGGATGCTTCATGAGGTGGGCTAAACATCTGTTTTATCTCCTTCCAAAACGGACAACTAGTATGCCCCCATTTTCCGCCCCCTTTTCAGGTTCCCGTTTTTTGGCGCTGACCCTTTTCAGCGCGCAGCCCTTTTGTCCACCGCCCAGAAAGTCTAACGTCCATTGGGGAAGGGAGATTGAAAGTGAAGCACAGTGCGCAAAGGAATCTGATTCTCAGGTTCCAGATCTTCATGAACTGCATTGATTGATGTGTGGAGGTTTCTTGAGGGTGAGTGAGGTTTCATGGTGGGGAACCCCCTTTGAACTCTGCCGCTTCCACGGAGAGACGGAGGCTTGAGGGAGCAACCCGCGGCTCGCTCCGGGCTCCGGCCAGCATGCCCTTGCTGCCGCCCGTCTCCGCGGCGGCCAGCTGATCCGCCGTCAAGGGGGCGCGGGACCTGGGGCTCAGGGGTTTATAGGGTTATCGGGTAGGGTTGTAGAGTTTGGCTTATAGGGTTTACAGGGTGGTAGAGCTTGGCTTATAGGGTTTATAGGGTTAAACCCTAAACCCGAACCCCAGGGCTTTGCAGACTAGTTGATCGGGTTTATAGGGCTTGTCCAACATTCGCTTTTCTGACCTCCGCGTTACCTTTCGGCCTTTTGGTTTGTGGGCCCACATGTTTGTTCGAGCCCCGACCTCTCAAAGGGACGGCGCTCAGAGGAAAACGCTCTTGCCGGAACATGCCAACTCATGAATACATGAACAAAATCAACCACAACGATGAACATGATAGCATGCGTATGTGTTCAGCATCTCTGCACACAAAGTTTTTGCCAGCCCACGATTTCCCCAAATGCCCGGTGTTGGGTTGAACTCCATGGACCAACCATCCTGACACACGCTGACTCCACCTTCCTGCACCTTTTCATCTCTCGTCATTCTGAATCTCTCAAAAGCAGCTCGCGTAAACCTTTGGCAAATGACGAAACAACCACCTTTTCTGTTTGTGACATACATCCAACTTATCCAATGCGTTATGACTCCCGACCCTGAACAACTTGTGCGCATTAAGCCCGAGACGTCCCGATGCCCAGCGCGGGGCAGTCATCTGGCAGGGGGTCGTTGCCTCGGTAAATGGCCCGTGTTGGGCCTCAAAGGGCCAGCAACAACTCGAAAGGCGCACCTTTGTTGCAGACTTCTGGCTCGGTTCAACGGCAAGAACATGTATGTCTGTCATGGGGCAAAGAAACCACACGCCATGTGGTTGTTCTAAGGCACTTGTGAAGGCAGTACGTTTCTTTGAATAACATCGCCTTCATGAAAGTTGCATGCATCCTTCAGGGAATGCGCCGAGAGAACATGCCCCTTTTCGCATTTGTATTGCAAAACAGGAAAGGCCCAGCTGGCTTGCACTTTCATTTCAGCCGCAACCAGCAGAAGAGAGAACGCCTGCCTCAGTGCCTTTGCCTTAACCCATAGAACCATTTACCGGCATCAAGCAAATGTGATTCACACTACTCGTAGAGCTTGACGCTTGACGCGGGCATCGACGGCCGAGTTCTTAGGCCCCGCGGCGGGCGTCCAAATGGCACAAGGATCGCATGACGCAGCGGTCTGCGAACATCATGCCGTCGAGCACATCCACCGCCTGGAGCGGTCGCCTTTGGGATCTGAAATGTATTGGGGGGGGAGATTCCCCCATGGTAACCACTGCGAATTCCAGTCAATCGTCTCGCCCCTTCGACCAGTGGGGAACAGGAAACCATCCCAAATCCATGCAAACACTGAAGTAACTGTCGCACCAAAAAGGCCACTGAATCCCGAATAGTTTCTAGCATATGGGTTTTTGGATAGTCACATTTGCGCGATGCAAGCGAACGGAGCTTATATGGTAGAACCTGCTTAGGGTCCCCCGGAAAGACACCCGGGCATGTTCCCTACTTCCAGTCGCTGATGCGAATAAAAACAAACCGACCTTGCCAGTGATCACGCCCCGACGCCAGGAAAAAGAAAGTCTGAAGCAAATGGAAGTGCCGTCATGTTCCATCCATCCCCAAGAATCAAAATCTGGCAACCCACTGGACCCAAGCCACTGGAAGTCTCCTTATTGGGGAAGAATTTGCAAGACAGACGCCTTCGGTTCTTTGGTCTGGGGGATACTTTGTGGGGGGGGGGGGATTGTTTTGCTGCGGTTTCAAGAAGCGTCTTGTTTCGAGAGCCGGCCGTTTCCCCCTGGGTTTCTCTGAAAAAAGGGCGTTCTGTGGCTCGAATCGCTGCTACTTAGAAGTTGCCAAAGGGGCAAAGGAGCCTCGCCTGCTGCACCAGCCGCGACTCCCAGCCGCTCGCCACGTAGTTCACCTCCTGACCCTTCGGGTCGAGGCCTGCGAAAATGTCCGAAGGAGCAGGGGCGCTTCCGGAGTTGGCCTCCACAACATGTGGGTCATTCTATCAACAGGGGTTTTCGTTTTGTGGATGGAAACAGGGAGGGTATTCCTCTCAACAGCATTGTTCTCCTTGTTGGATGATGTCTGTTTCCCCGAAACTGAGAGGAAACCAAGCGCCAGAAGCAATCCAAGGCAATCGCCCATGTGGGTCACAAGCTCCTTTCCATCACGGTTCCACCTCGATTGATCTCGGTCTCCCAGCCCCTGGCAGCAGGCCTCTGACCTGCACCTTGGCGGGGCGCTCCACCAACGCGCGGTAGCCTGGTCCGCCCGGAGTTTTTGTCTCAGGATTTTGGGCCAACATGGTGGTCTTGGCTTCCCTTTGAAGCCAACAAGAAAGGGGTACCCTCAAGAAAAGACGCAGCCAATGGGTTTCAGAAGGTTCATCATCCATCCTGAATGGATTGCGTCCATGAAGTCATGAAGTCAACTTGGCACTTGAAACCCCAAACATCCCAAACGCCTTCTGAAAGCTGGCACCAGGGCCAATCCCTTGTTGAAACAACCAAAAATCACGTGTTTAAGCCGCCGCCATCCTTTTGGCTTCAAAACCACCAGGGCCCACTTGCGTCTTCCGCACCTGGAAGCTCGACTCTCGACTCGACTCCTGGCCTGGGATGCTGGGATCCCGCTCCCAGAAGGCGGAGGTCGCGTTGGACGCTGCGCGCAGCCGGGGGTTGAAGATCACCTCCAGGCACTCGGGGGTTTCGTGAAGGGGCCCTCAGTCTGCTGAGTGCCTGCTTTCAAGGTTGGCGTTCAAGGAAACAACGGCGAAAACCGCAATTTTGGGGGTCCCCCTATTTTAACACAGACCCAAATGAGCAGGCAAGTTTAAGAGGGTTTCCCCAGGAGGACATAGCAAATGTCTAGGGTTCGTTTGCTGGTTCTTGTGGGAGCCTTGGATTCCGCATGTTCCTCCCATCAATATGTTGACTGAACCTCGGCTGGGCTGCAAGGCAAAGCCCAACAAGAGACTGGCCAGCCTGCGAGTTCGTTGGTTTGGTGACGCAAAAGGACCTCACCTAAGTGAAGGTCAGTGGCCCATATTCAGCATTTTGAAGGAGTGCAGAACGGGGAACCCTGCATGGTGCGGGGAAGGAAGTCCTGCCCGAAGTCCAACAGCATTTTGCCGATCGGTCCAGGTCTGGCTGTTGGGCAGCACGCCAAGCCGAGCAGTCGAAAACGTTGCTGCAAAAGTGAGCCGGGGCCGCGTCTACAGATTTCAGCCGCAGGATTGACCAAACAAAATGTGGATATTATCGTGTCCACCGATTCTCCAAAGCAAGTGTAGCAACAACATGCACGCCTGGCCTGCAAAATGAAGCCTCAGAATTCCAGCCACGTCCTCTATGCCCAGTGGCCAGGGGAAAAAAGGGCATCCTTCTTCTTGGTTGGTTGAGTTTAAAAATTGGAACCCTTCCCAACAAAAAGTTTAAAAAAAAGGGAAGCAACCCACTGGGCAACTGGGTCCTTCAGCTCCAGGCGCGAAGCCCAGAGCCTCACCAGCCAGCCACCAGCCACCGATTGACCCTCCGCGCCTTGCAGCTGAAGGGAGCCTCCCGCCCTTGGAGCGCCTCAGCTCGGATTCAGATGATTGGGCCCTTCTCCGACACCTGCCTGAAGCCCCCCAGCAAAAAAAACAACTAATCCACATGGGTGCGGATTTACTTTCGGTATTTTTGTCCAATCCAAATTGCCCGAAGGCACGTTGCGTCCCATGGCAAAACGAATTCGAGCGTCCGCTGAAGACGTGTCCTCCCCAAGCAATTCGTCAGTCACTCGTGTCTCAATACCCTAGTGGCGCTTGTAATTCATAGTAGGCAACCAGGAAAAACCATGTAAAAACTTAGCTGGCAAAACACTAACTGGGAAGGGAAGCAGCCAGAAGTCCTGAATCCCCCCTTGGTCCGCCGAGCCCATGAGGCCAGGGTCCCAGGCGCGCTCCTCTGCTGAAAGCTTCTCTACTGCCTTTGGTGGGTCCTGGCGAGCAGACACTCACCAAAAGGTCAGATGTTAGAGCATGCCCATATTCGCGAATCGAAATGAACAAATAAAACGGAAGAAATTCCAGTGAACTCACAAATATCCGGAGCCAAGCGCGGCACTGCCCGATGGCACACATTACTCTTTGGTGCAAACCAACAACCAACCCTGGAACCTATCACAGTGCCCTAGGGTTCAACCCATTAAAACAAAGGTCGGCCCAATTTGGATGATGACAATCCTGAGGTAAACAATGCTTTGAACCCCAAAAAGTATTCACGGCTTCTGTTTTGTTTGGGGTACCAACTTCTTTGCGACTTCCTGTTGCCACCGCCTCGAGCACCACCAGCCGCGAGGGCGTGCCCAGGTGGGGCGCCGTCAGGAAGCCGCCCTTGAAATCGCGGCCTCGCTTCGTGTTTGTCGGTTCGGCAGGGCGATAGGTTGCGGTGCCGGGGACTTTGTTGGAAGGAACCAACTTGGTGGAAGATTGAAAGGAATCTTCTGCAAGGTGCCGGGCAGTCTTTGGAAGGAATGAACTTTTTGGTGGTTGTTGACCCCTCTGCAATTGTTGACCCCTCTGCAAAAAGTTTAACTTGTTGTGGGTTTAATGGAAGACCCTTGGTTTCCCAAAAGTTATAGTCTAAAAATCCAGCAAGAATTGGTGGAATATTGAAAGTGCAACTCGGGTCCGCGAGTTGACACACCCCAATCAAACTCAACCAGGGCTTTGTTCATCAACTGGGTTCCCGTGGCTGGAAAGGAACTTGCTGCCAGTCATTAACCCGACAGGCTACTCACTTGAGTGCCCGAAAGCCATTGACTTTTCCTTCACGGTCAGACAGGTTCATACAGTCTGTAAAAAACTGTTAAAGTTTGTGAAAACCAAACCACCTAAACTGGCCAATAGAGGTCAGCGCTCACTCGATGTTCAAACCATCGCCCAGGCATCTATCCAGGGACTGTCCGAAAGGCCACGCTACAACCGTATGTGAAGCTCGTGTCAACGATCTTGTTTTCGGTCCACACGCTTTCGTGCTTGAGGACGGAGGCTCCAGATGAATGACATCAAAATCGTAAGGCGTTGCGACAAAACAAAACAAAACAAAATCCTGACCCCACGCAAAAGGTACCTGCATGGATGCTGTTTGGATGAATTATTCCTTGGCAGCCAATGGTGAAGAATTCTTGGTTATAGACTGTTACCTGTGCTTGGTCACCTCACGTTGATCCTGTTTGACTTACCTCTCATTATCATATCCTTCCTCGATTGTCATACTATTCTCATATTTTGATTATAACTTCCATGGCATCTTTACAGGCATTAGAGTGGGATGGGTTCTTTTCTGTTCTTCTCATTCTTTACTTGCCGTTTGATTCTACTTGTCGTCTCATTATACGTGGCTTGGTTGCTGTTGATCCCTCTGCAAAAAGCTTATTTTTTTACAACAAAATGTGGGTTGAATGGAAAACCCTTGATTTCCCAAAAAGTTAAGCTCTAAACATCCCCAACCCAACAAGCAATCAAGGTGAAGAGAGGGAACCGAGGTTTTGCCCACCAAACGGTTTTCGGCCCCCCACGCCTGGGAGGTTGGGACCTCGCATCACCCAGACCTCGGTAGATCGGTCAGCGTCCAAGAAGTCGCACAAATGTGACCCCATATTCATCAACCCCAGTTTCATAATAGGGGGGTGTTCTGGTGTTGGCCTCCAACAGTGATGCTTCCCCACGAAACCCAGAAAAACACGCGCACACACACACACCTATTACTGAACAGGGGTTGATCCTGCTCTGTCGTTGTCCCTAGGTGTGCTTAGAATTAGCGCAGACCGCGGTCTGTGGTTGCTTCACTTGCGACTTCTGAATCCACGATATCTCCCTGGTCTGGGTGCCTGTTTTGGTGAAACCTGTTGCGGATGGAAGGGAAACCAAACGGGAACCAATCCTTGTAGGGGTCCACCAGACTTGTTCCAAAGACCCGGCGGGTGGAGACAACTTTTTGGCCGGACAAGGGCGACCAAAGCGCCCGGGCTCACCTGTCCTCAAACCGGGGTTGGTGGTCGGGGCAAGCCGTTGGACCACGCGCGCTGGGGGGCTGTGGCCAGCTCCTCCGCCACGTTCTGGGCCTTCTTCTTGGAGATGCGCTCAGGCTTCACCTCACACAGAGCCGAGCAAAGGGCCGAGCCGAGGTGCCTCATGAGGCAACAAGCACGGTGCCGGGGAAAAGAAAACCGCAATCCAAAGGCGTGGCACCTCCTTGAGATGCCAAGTCCAAAAATGTTGCTTCAAAGTACCCCCATTGCTCCAAGAGCTCTTTAGGCCCGCTGGAAGCAGCCGCTGGGACCGCGGGCCAGCTTCGCCTTCCGCCGCAGCACGGCCTGCCGCTTCGATCGATGGGTCCCGGAAACCCCGGCGCCTCGCCTGGCTTTTCTGCGGTCTAAATGGTGTCCCAACCGGAAGGGGTCAGGACGTCAATGGAAACAGCCAGCTGGTGGTTTCAGGCTCCGAACCAAAAGTCTGCTCTGCTTGCAATTGTTTGAATTCCCAAGGGACAGCCTGGCAGGTTGTCAAAGACCAACACCGTTTTCTCGCTCGTCCGCGGAGCTCAAGCGCAAAACATGCTTGAATATTCACAGGCCCTTGGCTGACGGTTCCCGCACCCTCCCCCAACGCCCCCAATCTGTCAGGGTCTGGGTCTGAAAGGATCCAACCACAAAAGCAGGGCCCCCCCCTCCCCCCAATCAAAAATGACATCTGCAGATTCCAGCCCACATTCAATGAACCTAAGAACGTCGAATGCGGATCAATGCACCTGAAA